GAGGCCACTTGAGATCTTGGTGGGAGATGCTGAAGAACGAGATGAGATTATTGATATGGCTGTCTGGGGACACCTGAGTGGCTCAGTCAGTTGAGCGCCCAACTCTTGATTTCGGCTGAGTTCATGATCCCAGGGTCGTGGGATTGCGCCCTGTGTTGGGCTCTGCACTGAGTGTGGATACTGTTTGGGATGTGCTTGCTCTCTCTCTCTCTCTCTCTCTCTCTCTCTTTCTCTCTCTCTCTCCACCTCTCCACCCCTCCACCCCTGTCCCCAGTTGGTGCTCTGTCTCAAAAAAAAAAAAAAAGATGGCTGCCTGGAGATAGAATTGGATCTAGACCATGGGAGCATCATTTGGTCCTCAGCAAATGTTCCCTGATGCTTTTGGAGAGTTTTTTTTTTTTTTTTTCCTTAAGAACAATGAAAAGGATGGGAAAATACACCAAATTTCTACTCACAACACTACAACTGTAGCCTTCCTTGTCAACCTTACTGTTAGCACTCTACCCTTCCCTCAGGATACTCCAGGCCCCTGTTTTGAGTCCTGAAATACTCCAATCATATTCCCACCTCGGGGCTTTTGAGCTTGCTATTTCATCCCCCTAAAACCCCCTCTTTCTCTCCCACTGAAGCAAGGAGGTGACAGGTCGTATTTTACCTCCTTAAGGATGCCATTCCAGATCACTCGGCCTAAAGTGATTCTCCCCTCAGCTGCCCTTTCTCCCATTATCCATTTTAATGCCTTCATAGTCTGTACCACCATCGATGGCTATTTTCTCTATTGGTTTCTTGATATTATATTGTCTGACTTGGCTTGACTGTAAGACAGTCCATAAGAGTGGGGTTCCCCGGAGCTCTCCGGCTTTGTCTGTATCTCTACATGACAAGCCCTAGCTTGTGGACGTAGCCTGCTGTCACCATACATCGGTAGGACGAGGTGCTCTTGGCTGTGGGAAATAGGGTTTTTCACTTTCACAGACAGCCTGGGTTAGAACCCCATTCTAAGTTTGGATCCCTAGAAGGCTTTTTGATGTAGCATCCCATAAGTTGCGATTTTCCAAGGCTATTTCTGCTGAGCCTCGAGATTTATATGTTTGGTGTTTGGTGGCATTCACAGGAATTTCCTTTGGGGTTTTGCAAACTACAGCATAGCATTCACTCCGTGTGCTCAGCTGCAGGATAGCTTCTGGGAACTCATCGAACTGCTTGAATTTCAAATTTTGGAATTTTGTTTTCCACATTTTGGTCCTCACCTACCACGTCCACCAGGTGTGAATGGGTGTCCTGTGTGAAAAAAGAAAAGGCGGAGAGGGACACTGGTGCAGCGGACATGGTCCCACCCACCTCCCCTCAGCCCTCACAGTCCCTGTGCATGTCACCCAGGGCTCTGTTGTAAACACCTGCTACTCTTTGCCTGACATCATGCTCCCGCTACCATGCAGGAAGCTAGTGGCCCCCAAAGCAGCCCTCGGTGTACGACTGATGAGAGTGGGTGAATAAAATCCAGTTTCCTCACTGCTGAGACGGGTCACCTTTTTGAGCCTCTTCCATGGGTCCCCAGCGAGGCTGCCTTTGAGTTGCCTACAGGGGTAAACTTGCTCATTCACGCACCCTGCATCGGCCTCGTTCCCTCCCCAGTCTCACTCCCTTTCTCCCCTTCTGGTGCTTTATACAAATTCACCTCCCAAATAAACCTTCTTGCGCTTAAATCCTTATCTCAGGGTCTGCTTCTGGCATAGTCTAATCCAAGGCAGCATTCTATGACTAAACATGGCCAAATAAACTCAGGAACTGAACAAAGTTACATAGTTCTTTTGTTTTGTTTTGTTTTTTTTCTCCCCACAGGACCTCCCAGTCTGACTAATGTGCTAACGTGCCCTGTGAATTTTCAAGACAAGTTTTGATGCAGCATTTCCTTTATTTGTTTGGCCATGGAAACTGAGGCAGGGGTGCCCCTCACAGGAGAAATTGAGCCTTAGCACCACCACTCTAGGACCTCTTATTCCAGTCTTAATTATAGTGGGAGAAGCTCGGTGGCCGCGATCAAATTTTTGTTTTGTGACAGTTCCGTGGGCTTAAAGCTTCATGTGGCTGAGAAAGCAGTGTAAATGCACTTCCTCCATAGCCATTCATGTTCTCTCTCGGCAAAAACGGTGTATGCAGATTCGAGCTTCTGTTCAAAAAGAAACAGAGGATGGACCCGGCTTTCAAAACCCCCAGCGTCTCAAGGTTACTCACCCAAAGTCCTGCAAGTTAACTGAGCAGTTTCTTTCATCATTTATACTTTTCTTTTGTCATGCTGAAAGCCACGGGTTTAGAAAAGAGTTGATAGGAACTGACCACCTTGCCAGTTAAAGACTTCAGGATGAGTCACTTACTCACATTGTGGGGGTAAATAATACAGATGTGAGGGCACCTTGGAGCCTCAGTCTAGCAGGGGAGATGGAAGGTGAACTCATAGTTACCAAAAGAATTAACCCCCATAAGTGTTCTTAATGAACATGTGCCTATGAATGAAGAGAATATATAATGAAGAGAGTGTATAACGAAGTATCAGGAAAGCTTCCTGGAGCAAGTGGCATGGAGAGGGAAACATAAAGGGTGAAGGGGAGGGTTGAGTGTTAGAGTTGGTGCTAAGGCTGGGAGTGAGAAATAGCCCAGTGTTAGGGGAACTAACAGCGGTGGGGAAGGAGGTGGGGTGTGGACCAGGTCTCCAAGAGTCAGAGGAGGAGCATCAGGGAAACTCAGTCTGGTGGAGTGGACACAGGCCAGATCAAGTTCGTGTTGATTCGCTTTGTGATCTTATGCAGGAAACATTCCTTAGCCTCTATATCCTCATCCGCAAAGTAGGAATACTAATACCACTATCCATATGGGGTTCCGGGATCAAGTGAAATTAACACAGGCAAGACCCTTCACAAAGTCCCTGTCACATAGCAGGTGGTCACTAAAGGGTTATGACTTGAATTATTTATGCATTGTTCATGCTTCTTTGGCTGGTTAGTGGGAGAACTGGGATTCAAACCCAGTTTTTTTCTTACTAGAGCCTTCTCTGTTAACTTTCTTGAGATATTTTCTGGTTTGATTTTTTACAGCGTTTCCAAAGAGGGTTCTGTGGATTACTAGGTGACGCTGCATGTCAACTTTTTGAATATATTTAGGAATTATGGGTATCAAAAAATGATCAAAAGTTTTTAATAATGAAATGTATTCTGCAAAATATTAGGTGCCATCATCCCATTTTTATAGTTTTAATATTGAAAAGACTAGATTTTTAAACATGGAAGTGGCAAAAACACTATTGTTAGATAATGGAATTATGGGTGATTTCCTAAATTTATTTTAAAAAGCCTTTTATAATTGTTCCCCCCAAATGTAATAAACTTGGTAAAGTTCCAGATTTTCTTCCTGCCCTAAAACTTAAGAATTACTCACTTCCCTATATACCAAAAAAAAAAAAAAATTATGTGTGCAGGACCGACCTCCTACCCGGAATTGACTCAAATGACTATTAATCAAGTTTGAAAAAAAGTTAAAACCAGTTGAATCTGCTGCATCCGGGTCCACTCTGGAGAGGAAAGGGATGCCTTCCTGCTCTCAGGCGGAAGTCAGTGTGAAAGGACAGGAGTGGTCCATTTCCAGTCCCGGCAAGCTGGCCAGTGCTCAGAGCGTCTGTGGGTTTAATGACTGGCACAAAAATAGAGTAGCTAGATGAGCTTCCTTGCCTTTCTCAGTGGTTTAGCTCCAACGCTTAAGGCATTTTCCAGAGTGCTGTGGACCCAGGCCTGGGCTGGGATGACACCTTGGAATTATTGATTAAAATCTTATATGCACCTTGGTTTTTGTCCCGGAGAGAAGACCTCAGCACCAGCCCCCAGGTTCCCTTTGCCAGGTGTTAGCCACAAACGTTCCACCAGCATACTAGGGGGTGGACCCCACAAAAGCATTCTTCAGGTTTTTCAAAGAACACAATAGCACATGATTCCTTCACGGTTTGAAGTTCATCCTCAAGCACTCATTCATTCTTCTACGTACATAACATCATCGGATCAAAATGTGCCCCAGACTTACAAATTCTGCTAGCTGAAAAGATGCTTGGCAAAGAAACCTCAGCAGTATTCATTCGGGATGATGATGTAGCACATGCAGCTTTCATTTGGATTAGGATGCTTCAGCTAAAAGAAAATGATTTAATCTTGGCAGACTACCCCCCGCCACACATACCAAAAAGAAAAAGAAAAAGAAGATTTAGCTTCAGTTCCCCAAATCTTTGTCTCGACAGGTATCTTCTTGTAGCATTTTAAAGAGTATTCCAATGGACGCCTACCAGGTAGGTTTCATATACTGCAAAGGCAGTCCTCAAAGAAGAGAAACTGGTAATTTTTCTAGCAAGCAGACTCTTGGCAAATATTTCTGAGGTAAATCAGGATTTATTTGAAGCCCAAGATAGAGGATGTGGGCTCCAGATGGTACTCGTGTGAGTGAAAGCTCTTAAGTAAAACAGAGCTGACCTCAGAGTGTGAGGAGCACGTATTTGCAAATTATTAGACCATCTGTCACTTGAGGACACTTGAATAATGTCTTTCATAGGAAATTGGGAAACTTATGTGCCTCTTTTTGAAGGTCTCAGTTCTGGAAGAATATGCTCATGAGGCGTTCATTGATTTCAGAAGGTGGACCCTCAGGGTATGTAAAAGGTGCACGAAAATCCTCAAAAACTCGTGATAACCCTTCAACCACCATGATCAACCACCGCACTGAAATACTAAATAAATCGAAGAATATTTCCATGTGTTGGTGTAGGAAACATATGTACAGAGGTCGCCTCAATGCCGGGAACTCTAGAGCTCCAGGGCACATCTACTGGAGTTCGATTTACAAGATCCCAAATCATGTTGCCAGGGACAGGAGGGACCTACCGGAGACTTGAAATCGACAGTTATGTCCCTGGAATGCCTGGATTTAGACTCTGAAACACAATGTTGTGTATATTCTTTCTGCAGCGTGCCCTTCCTTCCTTTGCGTCCCGGATGATTCTCTGCCACCATCCAAGATTCTCAGGCAAAGCGGAGTGGCTCTTCCTCATGCACCCAGAGCATTCCCTGCCTTTCTGAATAACAGCCCATGGTGATTATGCAGCTGCTTCTGTACTAGACTGTGAGTATGCTCATGTGGGGAAGCAAGTCTTATTCAACTTTGTACCCTATGGCACCTGCCACGGTGGCCAGCACAGAGTAGACCTGAAAATGGTTCTGGGGATAAGGAACTGGAAAAGGGGGGAGAGGCTTCTCCGGGACCTTAATCTATTTCTCATTGGTTAATTCACAAGTTTGGGGGGATTGTTGTTGTTTTAGCGGGAGGAACCCAATGAAGAGCGGGGAAAGATGTTCATTTTCTGGCAAAATTTTGAAATAAAGCTCAGGGACCACCTGGCTGAGTTCTGGAAGGCCAGTAATGGGCAGCAATACAGTTATATAAATATGCCATGAGATGGAAAATTATATCCTATATGGGCTTTTGCTGTAACCAGTGTAGTGGTTAAGAGTATGATGGAAAATTATATCCTATATGGGCTTTTGATGTAACCAGTGTAGTGGTTAAGAGTATGGTTTGGGGGTCAGAACACGTGGGTTTGGGCCTGTGACCTTGTGCAAATCATTTAAGCCCTCTGACCTGGAGTATCACTATTTATAAAATGGGGATAATGTAACTATCTCATGGAATCCTTGTTTAAACACTATTTAAAAATTAATATATGTGAAGTACTTAGTTCCATCTGTGGCAAATAATAAATTCTTGATAAATGTTAGCAATTCTAATTATTAGCCAATAACATGTTCAGCATTTTGGTAGTCCTAGAGGTTTTTTTTTTTTTAATGTTTATTTATTTTTGAGAGAGAGAGAGACAGAGACAGAGACAGAGAGAAAGACAGAGAGAGAGGGGGGAAGGGCCTGAGATAGAGGGAGACACAGAATCTGAAGCAGGCTCCAGGCTCCGAGCTGTTAGCACAGAGCCCGATGCGGGGCTCGAACTCACGAACCACGAGATCATGACCTGAGCTGAAGTCGGACGCTCAACGGACTGAGCCACCCAGGCACCCCTAGTAGTCCTAGAGGTTTAAACAGAAAGTATTTTCTTACATTGGATCCCACAAAACTTCTACCTGGTGCCTATTGTGTTATGTGGCAGACTGTGGACAGGGGCTAGATTTGGGAAGATGAATGGTCCTGTCACCGAAGCCTTACGATTAAAACTAAAAGGGAAGCGAATCATTTAAACATAGTCTTATATGTGCTATTAGTAAAGTCATTAGCAGGGTGTCATGGGAGACACATCAAACAGATTTTTAGTATTAATTTTGGTCAGTTGGTTGAGCTTGACTGCTTTGGGATGCTGTGTTCAGAAGGATTCGGAAGTGAAGTCCAGTTTCTGTGGACAAAAGCCCTGTGATTAATTAAGCAACGTCCGACACAGACAGAAGTGAGCTGGGTAGGGTCTCAGCGTTGCACATTAATCATTAGAATTGTACCCATTGAAGAAAGGATAAGGGAAGGTATTCAAGAGGAACAGACATCTGCATTTTAAGGCATTACCTATTCTTGACTTGAGCTAAGGACTGATATCAAAACAAAACAACAACAACAACAAAAAACCCAGACCCTCCTGGGTTTACACTGGGCTTTGCTTCCTTTACTTTGCGCGTGTTACTAAGCATTTCTAAGCTTCACCGACCACAGAAGTGGAATAGAGGTAATACCGCATCCTTATGGTGTGGGTTAAGTGTGAAAACATCTAGCAAAGAGCCTAGGCCCCAGGAGGTACTTAACAAATTATATTACTGTTTAAATGATTCTCGACTTCCCAGACTATCTCAGTGTGCAATCATCTCTGTATTCTGCTCACTCCACTCAAAGACTCAACCCCCACTTGAAAGCACAAGAAAATAACCATTTAAGTATGCTTATCTTATTAAAGCCACCACCCAGTGAGGGAAACATAAAGAGAAGAGTGAGTGAACTTGCCTTCTTTCCCCGCACAAATTTTAGCAACACAAATAATCCTCATTCCAAAAGATTTACCTTTTCAAGTACCTCTTGTCTTTTTAGCAAGTAAACTCCGAGAGAGCAAGGATGATGTCTCACATGGGTTCCGTAGATCCTCAAACATACCCTATGGTTGCTTAGTAAGTGAGAAAGATAAAAATAGCCCAAGAAAATAAGATACATATTAAATTGATATCATTTAGAGGACAGGAGTTGTGAAAACATGAAAATTCAAGTATTTGATTCCGGCATATTCCCTGTCTTATTTCTACATGTAATCATTCTTCTAAACTTAAAGGTAATAGAACAAATTCATATATTTGAAAAAAATATATATATATATAAACCATTGATAAATAATTTGCTTTATATATCATACAAATAAACTTTATAGTTTATATAGTAGTTAAACAGATATTGGGAGCTTACCACATGTTTGTTTGTGCTATGAACTTGAGCTGCATTATATCATACACACTTGACCACAATCCTTTGACATAGATACTGTTATCTCATGAAAGTCAGAGATGACTAGGTCGAGGTTTAAACTAATTTTAAGGATTTGAATCTAGGTGCTTCTGATTCCAAAGCCCTGGCTTTTGCCCCTTATACTTAGTGAGTCTCTAGTCCCCCAAAATGTGTGTAGCTTCAATACGTGTAAATGGAAAGAATTTGAAGTTTGTTGTTTTAAGAACTCAATAACTTATCTTTGTATACTTCTCTGTATACCTGTTCTGTCAGTTCAGACTTTATGTGTAAGGTTTGGTTTAAGCAGAACATACCTGGGGTTACTCACAAATTATGCATATGAGGGGGTCTAGGAAACAGATGACACATCATAGACACTTAATAAATGATGGCTACAACAAGGAATAACCAACTAAATAAAAACATTTTGTGCTGTACATATTACTATGCAGATATCCACGGTATCATTTCCAATAACTCTGCCTTTTTGTGATGTTCTTAACCACCCAATTATTTCACAACATTTTCTGGAATTTGGCTCACCTTATCAGTGCATTATCAGCTCTGTGTGAGTATGTGAGCACATCATGTGTCCGAAGTAATGACTGGCCCTCTAATGATTTTTAGAGGTGTGGATCACTTCCTTTTTGGTTAAGTGGACAATACTTTGGGAAATTAGTTGGTCCATATAAATGGATGTACTTCTTCTCGGCAATACATGCCTAATTACTTAATTCCAAACTCTATTGTCTACCATAAAAGGAAGTTTAAGGCTACTATGAGTGATGATCAGAGATTCCAAATAAATAAAACAGCTGCCTTATCAAGTCAGATGTTTACAAAACTGTGGTCTGAAAACATGGAGGTAATATACATTCTCTAACTCAACACATATGTGACAGTCAGTAATGTGGGGTAATAGATGTTTAAACTTTTCACAAAGAAAAAAGTCACCGATTATCCTTCTTTCATTCCTGACTCAAGGACAAGTGTTGAAATCCCTTTGTGTTTGTTCTCAATGCAAAAAGCAGTCTGTTCCATTCTAAGTGTGTGAGTATAGTGGATACTTGGCATGGTCTAGAATATGATATCCTAATTAATCCAATCTAAGTTTCTATAGATGCCATTTGTGTATGATCAAGTGTCATAGACACTGAATACAATACAACACACTGAAAAACATGTTTCTTGAGGATTCTGGCTCTTGTTAAAAGGACATAAACACACTCTACCTTATTTTTCCCACTGAATGCAGGCAAAAACCCTAGTCAGAATGCACACAGCTTCTATCTGAGGAATCTGAAAAGTAAGTGGTAGCAGGTGGATTAGAAAAAGAAGCCAGAACTCTTAAGTAAAATTGAGACCATGAATTTCCTAGGTGTTTACTCCCACATTTTCTGGTCCGGGCTCAAGGGCAATATGAATCCTGAAACAGCATGTGGTTACAGGGAGAAAGAACTCCAAGAAGAGCCCCTGCTGCTAGTCCAAGGAATGTAAATGGGACCCTAAGGAACAGAGAGAGTGGGGGCAATCTATGTCTTTTGTTTTGTTTTTTCTTCCCCCTTCTCCTCCGGCCCGTGGGCAAGCTTCAGACCTGTCAGCTGTAGTCCTGGTCAGTGGCAACAGCAGTAGAGTTTAGGCAGGCTCCCCAACCTTCTCTCTGACCAGAGGAACTACGTTTGAAGAGTTGGGGGTGGGTAACTGTGCATTTTTTCTTTCTCTCTATCCACCTGTCGGCTTGGGGGCAGACCCAGGTGTGGGAAGTACATGGTACAAGGGGGTGGGGGAAAGCCTTTGCTTTCTAGTAAAAGGAGCAGGAAGTGGCCCTTAAGGGCCAGGGAGTGGGGGCTTGTGGAATGCTCAGGCGATCTCACGGTTGGTGAGTTCGAGCCTTGTGTTGGGCTCCATGCTGACGGCTCAGAGTCTCGAGCCTCTGCTTCAGATTCTGTGTCTCCGTCTCTCTTTCTGCCCTTATCCGACTTATGCTCTCTCAAAAATGAATAAATAAACTTTTTACAATCTTAAAAAAAAAGAGCCAAGGAGTGTCCAATGGAAATAGTATATTTTATCTAGCTCACTATATCCAAAATATTATCATTGCAACATGTAATCAATATGAAAACATATTAACGAAATATTTTACTTTTTTTCTGAGGGGAGCATGCAGTCTTCAAAATCTCCTTGTTGCACATGGCTACGAAGCGCACAAAAGGTGGCTAGTCCAAACTGAAATATGCTGTAAACGTGAAACACACAGCAGACTTCAAAATATTTTCTTAAAGTCAATTTCACCTTATTTTTTTTTTTAATTTCTTTAAGGTTACTCCTAAAAAACGTAACATTCTAATTTCACATTCTATTCTTGTGAGACAGCATTGCTCTAGATGCTAGATTTTCACTGTAAGACCTCAACGAAAAGAAGGGTTGATAGAGGCTGGAGTCCTCAGGGACAGTTTCACGGAGGATGAAGGCCCTTGGGAGTCAGTACAGGGAGCAGGCCCGGGGTGTGTTTTCCCAGAGGAGGGGGTAGGACTTTTGGCAGGTGTGGGGAAAGCCAGGGGAGGAGTGGGGAGGCCTCCAAAGAGTATCTACTAAAACCTGCTTCTGAAAAGCTCAGAGGCCGGCTGAAGTCTCCTGAGCCTGGGAGGTCCCCCCACGGGACAGGTGGCCAATGCCAGAGGCATCCTTCTATCTGCAATGCTCACAGGTGATCATCAGCTAAGTCATGTT